ATTAAAAGTTACTTCAATAATATTGAAAGAATTATCTAAGTTTTACGAATATTTTCTAAAGTAAATCTAATATAGATTACATCTAGATTCTATATCTAGAAGGAGATGACTTTGGTAGAATGTAAGTTGTTGATTAACATGCATGACTAGATGCATGACGCGTAGGACGTAATCATCTTTTTTTAAAGTAAACTGTATCATATAAGATCTAGATCTAGACTAGATCTTAGGAGTTCTCAATCAGAAGTCTAGGTCTAGTATTACTTGTCATATTGTCATCAGCTATAAATAGTTATGTAAAATTTAAACTTGATTCGAGAATAGGAAGTGAGCGAACAAAAACGTGTCAAAACATAATAAAGGGATTAAATGCATATGTACATCCACATCTCTCATTAATTAACATTTATTTCCCTAATTTCAACATCAAACAAAAAAATTAATCATCAATAATTTATTCACTGATTGCTTCGGGTTTGTTTTTTTTTCGATTTGTGTCTTGTCAGGTTCAATGAATAATTGTGCAAAATTTCCACTTGATCCGAGAAGAGGAATTTTGGGAAAAAACATGTTTTAACTTTCTACCAGACAGACAGGGTGAGTTGATATTAGCTTTGCGAGAAAAAAAAACCCAGACGGGTAAATACATTTTTTTTAAAATTATTTTAAAAATCTGTATTTGTATCCATATAGAAGCTCTACACACACACACACTCTAGGCCTAATCGAATAACAAATAGTTATAAACAATTCTTAAGAATACATAAATCATTAGTGGGTAATAAATACCAATCCGACTTTTTGTAATGTAAATACTCCTATTAATCTCTGTGAATGCTGTTAAATATTTGAAAACAATTTATTAGTTATATCCAGATAGTGTGATAACAACAGCAATATATATCTATATATATATATGAGCCCGTTCAAGATATTTCGATCTATGGGGAAGATGATGTAAAATGTAATGGTCATCTTGTTCTGTGGTCAACGTTGAACGAGTTGGGTGACATCGCGCCCTAAAGATTCCTAAATTCCAAGTCCCAGTTTTCACCAGGATTCTTGATGACTCCTGAGTATAGGTAAGAAACTTCATTAATAAATTGTAAGATAATTCTAAAATAAGATAAGAAAGTACTTCCTTACCAATGAATGCTACATTTGATAGCACCACACTATTACTGCTGACAATAGATACACACATTGCACATGATGTGCTGATTGGTTGGTGAATTGCGACAAAGAAAAAGATGGTGTGTGGGCTGCTCGGAAATTACGTAGCACAGTAACATCTGTCTTGCCACGATGTAGGTCTCTATATATGTTTGTGTGAGTGTGTGTGCTATTGTTGTTCGTGCTGATGTGTATTGATTGCACTGCAGCGTGTTTGGCCAGTGTTTCCAAAAGTTTTGTGATCTTGCCCAAAGAAACGCACAATTAACAGAAAAGTGATTTGCGATTCTCTTAAATGTTTTTAAGGCTACGTCTGCATTGGCATAGTTCTATATCTTAAATAGATGAGATTAATCTGTATTTTCTGGCCAATATTTTTGCTTATCATTACCGGATAGTTACAGGTGCACCCAAAGCAGAGCAAGAAACTGCAATGTTAACTCTACAGAATTATTTTATGCTATGTAAATTTATATCAATAGCGCATTTTTACGAATACCATTTGAAAATCAAAACTGTTTGTTTTGGTCCATTTTGAATTTAAAAATTCAGTTTTAATTTCTCTATTCTTTATTTTTATTTCATGTATTGGGGCCATTTTTTTTGGTTGCAGACGACTAAGAGCAAGGTCTTCAATTCCGATGTCTATACACCCGCTTAATGGCATATGTGTGTATTGCAGTATTAAAAAAAAAACGGCTACATGTTGATGTAGCTAGGCTTATATCTCTGCCATCATTGTGGTCGAAAGACTCGGGCTTGTCTCTAGATTTTGAATGATCAACAGAATGAAAGTTTTAGATTACCGAAAAAACTTTCTCTATTAAATAGACCTGCACTAAATACACTGATCATGGTTATTTCTATTAATTAATTATGTAAGCATTAGAGTTATACAATTAGACCCAGAAAACTGTTGCTGGTTAATTTCGGTTGAGTGGATATAATTATGCGCTGTTTCCTGTAGGTTGAGGTCTGATTAACCGTGCGATCTTTCTATAGGCCTACGTATGCCTTTGTAATTTGTAACTAGAATTACAGGATTCAGTCATTGATTTAGTTAGTACTACAGGCTCACATATGAAACGTCTCATTGAATGTAGGCTATGTTTATCTGTGTAGGCCTACAAGGGATGGCATTATATGACTCGTAGGACGTAATCATCTTCTTTTTTGAAGTAACGTCTGTATTTTATAAGAAGAAGATGTGTCATTGATGGAAACTCGTACAATATTTGTTAATATATAGATGAATATAGTCTAGATGAAAAGAAAACTGTACATTTCTTTGACTCTATTCGCAAACATGATTCGATCTATACCCAGACTGTTAGAAAGTAGAAATATACTGCCCACAAAAGAAAAGATTCGATGTTATAAACCTGTAAACATATATCACTATGTTCTAAATAAATTCAAGTCAGAGAAGCCTTGAGTAGTTCGAGATGTGCTGGTAATCCGTTAACCATTGATCCGTAGTAGGCCTATCTGTTCATTAAGAGGATCTGTAAAAATGTTTGTAAAATGTTTTACATGTTTCGGTTGTTCCTTCAGAGTTGAAGATAGTTTACTTCCTAGTCCAAACCTCCCGCAGGACGACGGAGGATGGGAGTGGGCAGGGTTTGAACCCTCGACCGTCGATAAATCCGAACGACAGTCCAGCGCGCAAACCGCACGACCAGGCAGCCCTCCTACTGGGATATAAGGCATTCTTCCTGTGACCTGAACATTTTTTAAAGTATTTTTTCCTATGAACAATTTCTAACTAGCTGTATGTTGTTAAGATGTTCTAACTATGTTGTTGTTAAGATGTTCTAACAAAGTGTATAATGTTAAGATGTTCTAACTAGCTGTATGTTGTTGTAAGATGTTCTAACAAATTGAATTATATAAGATGTTCTAACAAGCTGTATGATGTTGTAAGATATTCTAACAAGCTGTGTGATGTAAGATGTCTTAACAAGATGTACGATGTTCTAACAAACTGTGATGTCCTAACAAACTCTAGGATTTTCTAACTTGCTTACAATTTTTTATCAAGCAGTATGCTGTCCTTTCAAGCTGAATGATGTTTTGCTGTTCTGATAAATTGTTCGATGTTCTGTTATGTTTGCTCACACTTAGTCTATTTCAAAATTGATCTGTTTTGTAAGATTGACAACAATGATACTTTGGACTAATTCTCTAGTCGTACACAGAAACTGACATCTATCTAGATACTGGTGTTTGTACCTCAAGGTATGAACAGAAACAATAAGAAAACAGCAGTTCTAACAAGGTAAAGAAGCCACAATTCTAAATGAAAAGTCATTGTTCATAGTGATATATTATAATGACATTAAAGCTTCTTATTCTCTATTAGGTTTTTTTTAATATCCTGACAATAACATTCTTGTAGATTTTCATACTACAATGCAATGAAAATGAGCGATTTCACGTCTCTGGCTGTGTTCAACATTTCACTTGTCTCTGGCTGTGCTCAACATTTCACTTGTCTCTGTGTTCAACATTTCACTTGTCTCCAGACTTTTTAAACATTTCACTTGTCTCTGGCTGTGTTCAACATTTGACTTGTCTCCGACTGTGTTCAACATTTTGATTACAACAACCCCCCCCCCCCCTTTTGCAAAGCATCATTCAAAAGTAGGTAGAATGTTTTGCTGATAGCGTCTCATTAGCTGTGTCAACTCTTCAGAACAAAGCACACGTGTTCAAATCTTACAAAATACAGACGTTTCTTCAAAAAAGTAGATGATTACGTCCTACGCGTGTCCCTAGATCAATCTAGTCGCATGATAATCAATTCCTTAAATTCTGCCAAGTCATTGGTTTTGCTGGCTGGCTCAGGCAACCCATTCCACGATTATTTTTACAAATTTATCCTAGAATATGTGAGCAGGAATGTGCATTCAAGTATCTTTGTCTGAGTATTTTAGTAGATTTTGTTTTTGATGATTATGGTTCAGTGTTTTATGTATAATTGCAACTTCTCTCCTGAAGGCTTTCTAAATTTAGTGATTATATTAATGGTGCTACTCTAGTCAATTGTGAATATTCGTTTGTTATTAATCTCACTGCTCTATTTTGTGTCTGTTCCTGTTTCTTAATATTTTCTTGAGTTGAGAGGTCCCAAACAGAGGATGCATATTCTATTACAAGGTCAAATACATTTGAGTTTCATGTTCTTATTTGATTTGTAGAAATGTCTTTTAATTAACATAATGCTTTGATTTTTTAAAATAGTTTTATCAATATGGGGATTCCATAATAGTTTTTCATTAATTATAACACCTAGGTATTTTGCGTTTTAAATCTGTTATTGGTTTACCACGAAAAAAGATAAGTGGAATTTAGGCCTGTGTGTCTACTCTTTAGTTGTTTTTTTTTTTTTTTTGGTTAATCTTAAATGGCATTTTGTGGACATGCTCCAATTTGATTCTTATTTTCGTATCTTGTTTTGTTTTTATTGTTCTATATATTATCAAATTGTCTGCAAACAATCTGACCTTTGTTCCTAAACTAATGCAATGTGGTAAATAATTTATATAAATTAAAAATAATAGTAGACCTAAGACGTTCATTGAGGTACAACCGAGTTTAAGTGTTAGTTTAGAGCCATTGATTTTTACAGTTTGTTCTCTATCCATCAGAAAAATCCTGAATCCATTGATGTAATAATCCATCAATGCCAAACTATTTAAATTTGTTGAGCAAGTTATGATGGTGAACTGAATGAAATGTCTTAGAATAACACTCTAATAAGCATCTAGTTAGAAATAGAACAAAGTCTCAGCATGTGGGACACAAATAGCAAAGTCTCTCACAAACTTATTTCCATTGGTTTATTTCATCACGGTACATACAAATTGTTTTCATTAAATGAACATCAAGCTAAAAAGCACAGAATATGGCAACTATTTCTTAACATTTCCCCAATTCAATCAATTCATCTGGCAATAAAAGAAACAATACAATCAAAGTCAACAGAACTATATTAGCCAAGACCAAGCTGGGACAGTAAGTAGTAGCTTTGTGTAGTTCAAAATAGACATTTGTGTTTTCAATCCAGAGTTCTAATCTAGTTAGAAAGCCTGAAGACTAAGTCAAGACTTTCAGAATGTTAGCTTCAAAATGTACAGAGACTGAATAAGAAACACCATCCAGGACAGCCTCGTCAATGCCCAAGCAACTTTCATTTATGTACAAGAAATGCATAAACTCACACAGAAAAAGAGATTGAAACAGAATTTGATTCTCTGTTTGACATAAACACACACAGTGATATAGGGCTAGAAAACAAAGGGGAGATCAGTTGAAACAGATCATTGATGACCTTCTGTCTGTAAGTTTACTTCCATCTAAAGCATGATAAACTTTGTACAAGAGCAGTTCTATCTTCCCATTGACTTTAGCAAGTATGCAGTTCCAAAATAGAGGACAACATAACAGAGGACTTTAAAATACATAACAACAGCAATGCAGTAGAATTTGTTTTTTTAAATTCTGTTTGATCATTAATACAATTAAAAAGGATTTAACTAAAGACGAAAAAAAAATTAAATGCAATAGTAATGTGAACACTGATCTCAAGCATTCAGAGCAACAAGCAATAACTGTGACATTGAAGACTTCATGGATTTTCAGTTGTTTTTTTTTTTTTGTTTTTTTTCTTTCTCTTTAGTACTTTTTTTTTTTTGTTTTTTACATTTTTTTTTTTTTTTTTGCATTAAGAAAAACAAATTGTTGAGAATTATATAACTGTCAGAATCTAAACACTTCCATAACAATGAGTAAAATATCACAGTAAAGCTCTTAGCCTGATTGTTAGTTGACTTTAGTTATAGAAACACCAATCAACATTCATATAACATTGGCTACTTGGACAAGAGACAATGTGTTCATTCTACCAATTTCTTATTACTATCATGCTTCTGATTACAATATTAATTATAAACCATCCACAAAATGTGACGCGTAGGACATAATCATCTTCTTTTTTGAAGTAACGTCTGTATTATATAAGATAAGATATTTTGTTTTACCTACAAACATATTTTGTCATAAAGAGAAATACTACAATTTTATTTTAGCCTCAAAGGCTCATATATGCTTGTGAACTTTTAAGAGGCATACTTTTCTGAACTCTTGGAATGTGACTGATAGCCAACTTCAGATTTGAACAAAAAAAGTTTTTCCCTCAATTTTTTTTTCTTGCACATGCAGACAAACACAAAGTATTGTTAAGACTAGAATTTTGAAGGGAATCATCACTCAGCAAATACTATGAAATAAAATCATTCAATCTTACTAAAGACAATAATGTCTCATTTGCAGTCTAAACATTACACCACCAGCACTGAAGACATGAGCTCAAAGAAAAAAAAAGGTTTTTGCTATCTCACTATTCTAAAGAACAAAAGTTTCTAGATCCCATGACCTATGTAATCAGTTGGTTCAGCAGAACAATGAATGGGCTAGAGATGTCTTTTTCTTTTTTATATACTTCACATGGTTTGTGTGTGAACTTTAACTCACTAAGTACATAGCCTAATAGCAGCAGCAGCATTGACACAAAGCACACAGTCTACAGGGCATCTCCTTATCCCCTCCCTAGATCTAGAAACAAAGTATAACCAACAGCTTATTCTCTTAAAAACATACATCTGTAACTTCTACAAGCTAACCAGACTCAGAGACAGTGAAATCTGGAATAACTTCAGCAACAACTGGAATCCTATTCCAGAGGTCATGTTTGGAAGCTGTTTCTAGAGTCGTCGTCCCCCCCCCCCCCCCCCCTCATTCCCCTGTTCCCATAGGCCAGTATGATGGTATTTAAAAAAAAAGACTTGGACAATGATGTTATAGGCTTATTGTTTGGGGGCACCCTGTAGAGATGGCTCCAAGGGGAGAAAATATCAGTTGAGCATAAGATAAAAATACCAACAATAAGTCTATGTAGGTCTGTGATAATATGAATCTCCATACTGTTGCTGGTGAGGATGCTGGTCTGGAGTTTGCTGATTAGGCGGCAGCTGCATGTGTGGAGGCATGGCATTTGGTGGCGGCTGGCTGATGTAAAAGTTTGGTGAACTCTAAAAACAAAAAATGAATAAGAAAAATACAAAGTGGAATAAAAACAAACGTTATGAATATGTGACACTTTTTTTTAAAAATAAGAATCTTATAAGAATCTTGTATGCCGTTTATCTAGGTCCAGTTTTCTAGTCTTAACTACTAACTATTAATTTTACCAAGTCTAGATTTGTATTAACAAAATAGTATTTTATATATTCTGAGTAGATTTACACATGCACTTCACAGGAATTTGGTTATTATGAGCAAAGTAATCATTTTTACAAAAATTCATTAGCTCAATAAAGGGGGGTATTGTCCTATTTGTTTTTCTTAGTGACTCAAAGTAGTTTACTGCAAACAATGAACCAGGAGTGCCACCCATGAGACCAAGTAAACCCTGAAACCCGAATTCCAAAATTTTACCAACCCTGAAATCATAAACCCCAAACTTTACCAACCCTGAAACGTACCGCTTATACAATTTAAGCACCAAAATTTTACGAAAGAAGAACAGTATTAAATTACTAACTAGATCTATATCATAATATGCCCCCCATGTTTTAAATATGTAATTAGTAAGCCTATCATTATAATAAATAGAGTTTGTGTGTATTTATTGATAAAGCTTGTAATACAAGTTAAGAAGATTTAGTACAATTTTATATTAACAATGTTTGTAAAACCCCCCCCCCCCCCCAACACACAGTTATTTTAAATGATGTTTCTCTCTTAACATTTTTTCCCTCATTATTCATTTGAAGCAGCCTACTTTAATCAACATTGATAAAACTGATTCCATCAATGTACATGCATGGACCTGTAAATCTATTGCAACAAGATAAAATTGATTTAGTCCAGATCTACTCCAAAATGAACATTTAGATTTAGTTTCTAATATTTAAATGTAGACCTAGATGGCTAGAGTGTGCTGGACTGCTTATACATAATTATAATCTATATGTATAAATCTATTGACCAATCGATCTATTCTTTCTAGCCTCTAAGTCTTCAGGCGAACGCAAACTTACTAATTTAATTCTTCAATCATTGATTCTAGTTCTGATCTAAAAACGATGTAAATATCCTAAATCTAGATCCTACTTCTATAATACTCTAGACAGGCTAAGGCTCTATGTCTATATGGAACCTATACAAATATTAAAATATAAAACACGGAAAGAAAAAAAAATATATAATTTCTCACTCGTGAATATTTTTTTCTTTCTATTTCAAGATCTAGGACTAGCCGCTAGGTAAGCGAGTAGATCTAGACTATTCTAGACTATATCTATACTAAATACAAGACTTTACAATCTAGATTGACTCTAGATCATATCTAGATTGATCATAGAACTAGATCTAGACTCTAAATCGAGCTGATTGGAGGCGCATTCCGTAGATCTAGAAATTCTCTATAGATCTAGAATGTTTACACTTTTTTGTCACTTAAAAAAAAAATATACTGTACCGGTAAATAAAGCTTAGTGCGCATGCAAAGTGAAAGTGTCGCGAATCGCGAGATATGAGACTGGTCGATTTTGTTTAAAAAATGGCGGCTCGCGCGATCGGAACTAACAAACTAAAATTAACGGGGGGAAATGACCAGAAATTTCGAAAAAAATCTAAATCAACCAAAACCCTGGATTTTAACAAAATTGTAGAAGGCAAACCAGGAGGGGGATAAATCGGACCCCTCAAAACCCGGATTTCCGGGTTATTCCGGAAAAGTGGCACCCCTGCAATGAACTAATGTCTTGAACTAATATCTTGTGTTACCTGAAACATCATTGAAGGGTGTATTAAAGGCTGTGGCTGGAGAGGAAGACTTGGCTGATTAGATTGATATCCTTGAATGTAGTTACTCTGTTCTTGAAGAAACTCTTCATAGGCTGCTTCCACTTCATCCCCCATGTCCCCATCATCCACAACTTCCTCTCTAAACAAGATTATAGAGAATATGAAATTATTTCACAAGACAATCTACACAATGATCAGCATTTTGTATTATTTTGAAACAATAGTTTATTTGAATCACAACCATTTTAAAAAAAACGCCCCCATACAAAACATTTCCATATTTAATGGTCATGGTCAGAATTTCAGTTTTAGGGTGGCCTTTCAATGTTAGCTAGATCTCAAATGATGATACTGGGTTTAAGGCTGGTTGGTATGTTACGTTTTTGACATATATAGTGATAAAATCAAATCTTAAAGCACTGTTTTATGAATGTTTATGAAGTGATTTGGCATCCAAAAGTGTTTCCTAAGTAACAAAGAATCCAAGTTTGATTTAGCATCCAAATGTTTATTGAAGTGATTTAGCATCCAAAAGTTTATAAAATGATTTAGCGTCCATGTGTTTATGAAATGATTCAGCATCCATGTGTTTATGAAGTGCATACATTCCCTCTCAATACTTACAAGTGATTATAAGACTCGTACCCTGTGTCATTAAAAAATGTTTCTTGTTCTGTAGCCAGGGCTTCTTGCTCAGCTTGCCATTCAAGAAATGCAGCTTCTTCCTCCTCATTAAGCACATAAGCACCATCGTCAGTCTCATCTTCAGGCAAGACAATATCCGCCCTACTGCAAACAGCACCATTATTATAGAACACTGGTTCCTGTGCCTGAAACACAAGAGAAGTAGTATTAAACACTCACACATTTATGTGCATTCAAAAATGTACAATACATTCTATACAATTACAATTCTCTAAATAAACAAAATTGAGTTACTGCTTTTTTTTAGTAACCAGGCAGACACAAAGCATGAAAATTAATGTCATGTACAAGACTTAAGAACTTTTATGCAATGCTATAAAATAAAGAACAAAACATGTTTCTGCTGAATATATTACCTGAAAATTGTTTGGATCACTTTGAAAATGACAAGGCTTTTTAGGAGGTGAACTGACAGTCCGATTCCAATCTTTGTTTTTAAGATCTATAACACTGCTGACAAGAAATCTTGTATTCCTAGAACATAAGAAAATACTTATATAATAACTCAAAAAATGCATCAATAAAAAAAATGTTTTCTTTATAGCATTTTTAATAATATAAAAGTCAACTAATCCTAAAAAATTTAGGTCCTATCTCTTTTGTGGACACTAGGGGAAATTCAAACTCAGGCCCCCTTGATAGATAGCCAAGCAGTTAGTGCAAATCTGCCCCTCATCCAACATTGAGTTGGCACTAAAGGCATACCGCTTACTGCAGCAATAATGCAGTTTACTGTCACAGAATGAGATGTATAATTGTAATGAAGATTGCTTACATCTGTCAGAGGAGTAAAGGAATGAATCATATCAACAATTTATGGTAATTACTCTAAATTATTAGAACAACTCACTCTGCCAATCCTGGATGAGATATCAAGCCATTCATCTTTGCAAAAATGTCTTCAAACATCAAACACTGATTTGGTATGGATTTCACAATGTCTTCCATCAAAGCTCCAGACAACTACAAATTGAGATACAATACTAAATGTCCAGTGAAGTTACAAATACACAAAGTGGAGAGAAAGAAGTGAATACACATTTTTTGATTTGTTTTCTTGATTGTGTGAATCTTCAGTTGTGAAACTAGATTTAGT